AAAAAATTGGAAAATTGAAAAATGCAACAATTTCAACATTGTAAAGAAAAAGATTAAAAACTGAACAATCGTAAATTAAAAAAATCCAAATCGAAAACACCAAAAATCAAAAATTCAAAAAATGCAAATCAAAACGTTGAAAATCGTAAACTTGAAAAAATGAATAAATGAAAAATGAAAAATTATTGCAATTTTTAGAATAAGATATGATGGAGTTTTCCGATTCCAATTTTTTTCAATTCCGCAACTCTTTCAATTTTTGATTTTTGGACTTTTCGATCTGAAATTTTTTAATTTACGACTTGTCAGTTTTCAAATGTAGTTTTTAATTTTATAGTTTTGAAATTCTTCTATTTTTCAGTTTTTCAATTTTTGGAATCATACTTGAATTTTCGATTTTTCAATGTTGCATTTTTTCCAATTTTTAATTTTGCAATTTTTTAATTTATTTTCACAGGGATCTCTACAGGATTACTCTAATAAAAAACCTACGTAACCTCACTGACAATACATCCGTAATAGTTCTTGATGCAGCAAGGGTATTATGAAGTAGTTTATGCCCTAGGGTTTAAACTTCAAATAATCCCCGTGGTACATACAAAATTTTATGTGCTATTGTTCGGATTTTTAGATGTCTTGGTTTTTTGCTTTTTTTGTTTGCTCATTTTTTGCAGTTTTTTGATGTTTGGGATATTTTCGATTATTTGGATTTTTGGAGTTATATATTAGGTTCCTTGGATTTTTGGATTGTTTTGTGTTGATTATTGGATTTCTATAGTTTCTTGAGACCTTTTGGACTCGGAACTTTTCGATTTTTTGGATTTTGTATATTCATTGGATTTTTGATTATGTGGACTTTTTCAAAATCGAAAAATTGTCAAATTGAAAATTCGACAAATCGCTAAAATGAAAAGTCTAAAACTTGAAATCGAAAAATAAAAAAATGCGAACCTGAAAGTCGCAAATTGAAAAATGGAAGAATTTCACAACTATAAAATTAAAAAATTTAAATCCGAAATATCGTAAATTTTAGAAATTCCAAATCGAAAAGTCCAGAAACCAAAAATTAAAAAAAATTGCAAGTTGAAACACTGAAAAATTGAAAAACTGAAAATCGAAAATCGAAAAATGGAAGAATTTGAAAATTGAAAAATTCAAAATAGAAAAAATGAAAAATTAAATAATTGCAAAATCGCAAAAGAGAATAAACGAAAAATGGCAAAATGACCAAATTGTAAAATTGAAAAAAGGAATAATTGAAATCAAAAAATTGTAAAATCGAAAAAACCAAACCAAAAAATTGAAAATTTATTACTTTACAAATTTTGGAAATTCTGTTGGAGTATCAAAACAGTTAAATTTGGAGACAAAATGAAACTGGGCCATAATAAAATTCGCATTTGATTTTTACTTCTAAAATTACCGACAAAAATACGAAACATTCCGTAAAAAAGTCACCTTCGCATATTTTTTGTTGGTTGGGTTTACTCCAAAAGAACTTTTTTATTTGATTGGATTTAAACAGCGAGTTAACTATAAAAAATAGGATTTATGTTTTTTGGGTTTTTGGGTTTTTCTTGGATTTTTCAAATTTTTGGATTTTATGGGTTTTTGATTTTTTGTAACTTGGATTTTTTTCGACGTTTTTCGAAATTTAACTAAATAATTTCCTTATAGATTTCGGGCCACAGAAGTCACTTCCGGCCTCATTTCTTCTATAACTCCAACCGTTTTTCCAGAATTGCCCACTGAAATATCACAATTTTTAAAAATTCCAAAAAATTCGAATTTCACATCGAATATTTCGAAAATATTGCTCCGTTACCATAAACACGTTATATTCTTGGAATCAGCACGTCAAGATCTATGATCCTGAATTTTTTGAGAATTTTGAAACGACCTTTTCACTAATGAAATTTTTGACAATGTATAAGTATTTTATATTTTGGATTATTCGGATCTTTGGATGTTTTGGTTTTTTGTTTTTTTATTTACTGTTTTTTTGCATTTTTTGTATTTTTAGGATATTATCGGATTTTTTGGATTATCGGACTTCTACAGTTTCTTGGGACTTTTGGACTCTGGACCTTTTTTGGATTTTGTGAATTTTTTCAAAAGTGCAACATTTAAAAATTGAAAAATTGTCAAATTGAAAATTAGAAATATCGCAAAATTGAAAAGTCGAAAACTTGAAATCGAAAAATAAAAAAAAGAGAACCTGAAAAGTCGCAAATTGAAAAATGGAAGAATTTCATAATTATGAAGTTAAAAAATTTAAAATCCGAAAAATCGTAAATTAAGAAATTTCAAATCGAAAACTCCAGAAACCAAAAACTTTAAAAATTGCAAAACTGAAACACTGAAAAATCGAAAAATGGAAAAATTAAAACTTGAAAAATAAAACATTAAAAATCGAGAACTTGAAAGATGAAAAGTCTAAAAATTTTAAATCGAAAAATTGAAGGAACGAAAATTGAAAAGCTCAAAATCGAAAACTCGAAAAGTAAAAGAATTTGAAAATTGTAAAATTCAAAATACTTGGAAAAAATAAAAAGTTAAATAATTGCAAAATCGCGAAACCGGAAAATAGAAAATGACAAAATTGTAAAATTGAAAAAAGGAAAAATTGAAATAAAAAAAATTGAAAAATCGAAAAATTTTTATTCGAAAACTCAAAAAGTTGAAAATTTATAAATAAATCAAATATAAAATGAAACTGGACCATAATAAAATTTGCATTTGATTTTTAGTCCTAACAATACCGACAGAAATACGAAAAATTCAGTAAAAAAGTTACCTTCGCATATTTTTTATTGGTTGGGTTTACTCCAAAAGAACTTTTTTATTTGTTTGGACTGCGAATTAACCACAAAAAATACGATTTATGTTTTTTGAGTTTTTGATTTTTTGTAATTCGCGATTTTTTTAGTTTTTCGCTTTTTTACTTTTTGGATTGTTCGAATTTTTAGATGAATTGATTTTTGTTTTTTTTTGTTTAATCATTTTTTCATTTTTTTGGATTCTTGAAATATTTTCGATCATCTGGATTTTTTAAATTATCTATTAGGTTTCTTAAATGTTTTGAGTTTCTTGGATTTTTTAGATTTTTTAGATATTGTAAATTCTTCGATTTTTTGAATTGTGTTTGAATTGATTTAATGGATATTTTTGATTCTTTGGATTATTGGATTTCTAGTTTCTTGGGACTTTTTGGACTCTCGACTTTGTGATTTTTTGGATTTTGTAAAATTTTTGGATTTTTTTGATTTCGTGGATTTTTCAAAATTGTAAAATTCAAAAATTGAAAAATTGACAAATTGATAATTCGAAAAATTGCAAAATTGAAAAGTCGAACATTTGAAATCGAAAAATAAAAAAATGGAAAACGGAAAAGTCGCAACTTGAAAAATGGAAAAATTTCAAAATTGTAAAATTTAAAATCTGAAAAATCGCATATTAAGAAATTTCAAATTGAAAACTCCAGAAACCAAAAATTCTAAAAATTGCAAATTGAAACCCTGATAAATCGAGAAACCGAAAAATCTAAAAATTTTAAATTGAAAAATTGAAGGAACGAAAATAAAACTCAAATCGAAAACTCGAAAAACTGAAGAATTTCAAATTGTAAAATCCAAAATGGAAAAATTGAAAAATTCAATAATTGCAAAATCCCAAAACCGGAAAACAGAAGAAGCGAATAATGGCAAAATTGTAAAATTGAAATCAAGAACTTGTAAAATCGAAAAATTTTTACTTAAAAACCCAAAAAGTTCAAATTTTGGAAATTCTGTTCGCTCATCAAAGAAGCTAAATATCGAGACAATAGGAAATTGGACTATAATAAAATTTCCATTTCAATTTTAGTCCAAAGAATGTCCTTAGAAATATACCAAAAATTCCATAAAAATAAGTTTAAAACATTTTTTTAACTTCAACAAATTCTGGTAAATTTTAATAACAGAACAAGTATTGTAATTAACATAGTGTCCCTCAAGTAGCGACCGCAATATTTTTGATTCCATTTTTAAAAATATATAATTTTTTTTCAAACATACCTTTTACTACCGTAATATCTCATCCAGTAAGGAAATTGTTACGAATTTTTTGACCGCTTCCCGATTAGCTTTCAAGAGATTTTTCCTGTCGATTTTCACTTGTAGAAGTGATATACGACTTTATTGTATCGAAAAATACAACAATTTTTTTAGAATAGATAAAAATAAAAATGAGAAATTTTGGAGATATTTAAAAGTCCATTCTCAAGCCGAATATTTCAAAAATCCTAATTCAGGACCATCAACACCAGATGTTTTTTGTCGATTTTAGGCAACTTATCAACATCTCAATTTTTTAGTATGAATTTGTTGATTGTTTCACGACCACCCTTCAAATATTGCATAAGATTGAAAATTTCAAAAATCTTGATAATTTAAAGAATAACATGAACAAGGATCAATGTGTCAAGACACAGCTTTATTCTTCGCGTCAAATTTTATTTCAAAATTTGCTTTTACATTATCAAATAAAACTTTATTACAGCTTTAATTGTCCATCTGTTCAGGCGATGAAAACGATTACTCGTTATTTTTAGAACCACGCCAAACACACATAAGTTTCTCGCCACAGGATCCTAGTTGACATTTAGTACAAATTACGCCTATTTTTAAAGCCCATCCTCCGACAGCACCTATTATCCTTCACTCAAACACGCCATACGTCATTTCTCGAATTTCCCGCATGAAAAATAGCCACTAATAAAAATGTTAATGCCACAATCTCTCCTCAGAACAAACCCCGCTCTGAGAAATTAGATTCTTGATTTAGATAGCCACGGAATAATCCCAAACTAGTTTAATGGGACATTTAAGTGCTCGTACAGGGCGTACAAGTCCAAAAATGTTTTATTACCTGACATTAGCCATTAGTCAAGCGTTATCCGAACGGTACAAGCGCACCAAGTCTGGAGTAACGACGATGACTAACGCCGACTTTATTTTCAGAGGTGTATACCTGAATTCGAAAATGCAGCTTTCAACGTTTTAATGGAGGCAACGAACACGTGCGGGGACCAGGGCAAAACGGAATATTGCGTGCAGTCCGGGGTCACGGGGTTGAGGAAGTCCTGCGAAGTTTGTTATCCTAATGATCACAGCGCGAGGTACCTCACGGATTTTCACAACCAGGACCAGCCCACGTGGTGGCAGTCGGAGACCATGTTCGAGGGGATACAGTATCCGAACCAGGTCAACCTCACGCTCAAGCTAGGTAGGGGTGCTTTTATCACAAATGAACCGTTTCATTATTTCGAAAGTAGTTTCTTTTAATATCTTCGTTTATTCTATTTTTATTTTAGTATCAAGTATCAAGCATATTTCGTCTGTTTTTTGGATTATTCTAGAAAAATCGATTTAGTACAAATTTTGAGCTACTAAACTTTCGAACCGGTGCTCTGATTTCCATGAAGTTTGATTTTTCTCGTAATCCCAAACTTTTTTTTTGGTATAGTTTCCCCAGTTCTAAGTCGGTTTTACGATAGTATCCCATTGTGTAAAAGTCAACTTCCTTAACAATAGATAACTACTGCCGGTGATGGGACAGTCATAAATATGGATTTAACCATGCGGTTACCATTGTACTGTATAATGGTTAAATCGTTATTTATGACTGTCCCATCACCAGCAGTAGTAATCTATTGTTAAAGAAGTTAATTTTTTCACATCATAACACCGAATTAGAACTGGGGAAACTATAGAAAAAATTCACATGGACGTTGGAGTTTTTCTGGACAAAACCGGAAGTGAAACAGTTTATCAGAAATCAAAATTTGTTAAATCTTTGAATTAATTTCGTTCGTCAAAGTTTAAGGTCTTTGAAACTGACAGAATTTTGAAAATTGTAACTTTTGTTTTGGATTTTGTGGATATTTTCGATTTTTTGGATTTCTAGAGTTTCTTGGAACTTTTTCGATTTTCTGGATTTCTAAAGTTTCTTGGGACTTTTTGGATTTTATGGATTTTTTCAAAAGTGTAAAGTGTAAAAACTGAAAAATCCAAAATTTTAAATTGAAAAATAAAAAAATAAGAACCTGAAAAGTCGCAAATGGAAAAATGGAAGAATTTCAAAATTACAAAATTAAAAAATATAAAATCCGAAAAATCGTAAATTAAGAAATTTCAAATCGAAAACTTCAGAAACCAACATTTTTAAAAATTGCAAATTGAAACATTGGAAAATCGAGAAACTGAAAAATCAAAAAATTGAAAAATTTAAAACGGCAAAATTATACAATTTCAAAATTATGGAATTAAAAACGAGAAGAATTTAAATCAAAAACCTGTAAAATTGAAAAATTCAAACGAGAAATTTTTCGACGGTTTTCGAAATTTAACTAAATACATTGTCTTCAAATTATGGATATTTTCGATTTTTTGGATTTCTAGAGTTTCTTGGGACTTTTTGGACTCTGGACCTTTTGGATTTTGTGGATTTAAAAAAAAAAATAAATAAAAAATTGAAAAAATGAGAACCTGAAAAGCGTAAATTGAAATATGGAATAATTTCAAAATTACAAAATTAAAAAATTTAAAATCCGAAAAATCGTAATTTAAGAAATTTCAAATCGAAAACTCCAGAAACCAAAAATTTTAAAAATTGGTAATTGAAACACTGACAAATCGAGAACTTGAAAAATGAAAATATTGAAAAATTAAATATATTTGCAAAATCACAAAATCGGAATTGAACAATTTCAAATTGAAAAATTGAAAAATGGAAACATTGTAAAATAAAAAAATTTAAAAACTGAAAAATTTTAAATTAAAAATAAAAAAACTGCAAATCGAAACATTGAAAAATTTAGGAACTAAAAATAGGAAAATAGAAAAAAAAAATCAAAATATCTGAAAATTGAAAACGGAAGGAACTCCAAAATTGTAAAATTAACAAATCGAAAAACTGCAAAATTGGTCATTTGTCAAATGGAAGAATTTCAAAATTGTAAATTTTAAAAACCGAAAAATTGCAAAATGATCAAATTGAAATTCGAAAAAATGCAAAATTGAATAGTCGAAAACTTGAGATCGAAAAACAAAAAATTGACAAAGCGAAGTACCAAGTAAAATTGGAGAATTGTAACATGCAACAATTTCAAAATTGTAAAGAAAAAGTTTAAAAACTGAAAAATCGTAAATTCCAAAAATCAAAAATTCTAAAAACAACAAATTGAAACATTGGAAAATCGGGATTTTATCGATTTTTTTCAAAATTGTAAAATTTAAAACTGAAAAGTCGAAAACTTGAAATCGAAAAATAAAAAAAATGAGAACCTGAAAAGTCACACATTGAAAAATGGAAGAATTTCAAAATTACAAAATTAAAAAGTTTAAATTCCAAAATATCGTAAGTTAAGAAAATTCAAATCGAAAACTCCAGAAACCAATATTTTTAAAAATTGCAAACTGAAATATTAAAAATCGACAACTTGAAAAATGAAAAATCTAAAAATCCTAAATTGAAAAATGGCAGAATTTGAAAATTGTTAAATTCAAAACGGAAAAATTGTAAAATAAAATATTTGCAAAATCGCAAAATCGGAATATTGATAAACCGAAAAATGCCAAAATTGTAAAATTGAAATAAAGAACAATTTCAAAAGTATGAAATTAAAAACTAGAAAAATTTAAATCAAAAACCTGTAAAATCGAAAAATTCAAACCACAAAACTTTCGGCGATTTTCGAAGTTTAACTAAATACATTTTTTGTAGATTTGGGGCCATAGAAGTTACTTCCAACCTAATTTTTCAATAACTCCAACCATTCTTCCAGAATCGCCCATTGAAATATCGCAATTTTCCAAAAATTCCAAAAAATTCGAATTTTACACCGAATATTCAGAAAATATTGCTCTGTTACCATAAAAACGCTAAATTTTTGGAATCAGCAAGGCAAGATCTATGATTCAGAATTTTTTGAGAATTTTTAGACAACTTTTTTACAAATTAAATTTTTGTCTATGTACCTATACTGTATATTTTCTTTTATATTTTCGGAAGTTTAGGTGTTTTGCTTTTTGTTGTTTTATTTACTGATTTATTGCATTTTTTGGATTTTTGGGACATTTTCAATTTGAATTTTTGAAATTATGTATTAGATTTCTTAAATTTTTGAGTTTCCAGGGTTTCTTGGGTTCTGTAAATTCTTTGATTTTTTGAATTGTTTTGGATTTTATGGATATTTTCGATTCTTTGGATTTCTAGAGTTTCTTGGGACCTTTTGAACTCTCAACTTTTTGGGTTTTGTGGATTTGTTCAAAAAATTAAAAAATTTAAAATCCGAAAAATCGTAAGTTAAGAAATTTCAAATCGGAAACTCCAGAAACCAAAAATTTTAAAAATTGTTAATTGAACACTGAAATATCGAAAAATTGAAAAATTTAGGGCCGGTTGCATAAACGCAAATCAAATTTAATCTCTGATTAACTCCATAGTAACGATTGTTATTATCATAGTTACAATTGTTCTTAATCAGAGATTAAATTTGATTTGCGTTTATGCAACCGGCCCTAAAACTCGAAAATATTTGCAAAATCGCAAAATCGAAAATTGAACAATTTCAAACTGAAAAATGGGAGAATTTCAAAATTGTAGAATAAAAAATTTAATAACTGAAAAATCTTAAATTAAAAATAAAAACACTCAAAAAATCAAAAATAATTTTAAAAACTGCAAATCGAAACATTGACAAATCTAAATGCAGAAAAATTGAAAAAATATAAAATTGTGGAATTGAATCGAGAAATGAAAAATTAAAGTCGAGAATTTGAGAAATGAAATATGTATCTAAAAATTTTAAATCGAAAAACTGAAGAAAAGAAAAATTTAGAAACTAAAAATCGAAAAATCAAAACACCTATGTAAAAATTGAAAAATCGAAAAATTGAGAAACTAAAAATAGAAAAATAGGAAAAAAGAAAAATCAACATATCAAAAAATTCTAAAAATTGAAAAGTGAAGTAATTCCGAAATTGTAAAATTGTAAATTTGGCAAATGGAAGAAATTCAAAATTTTAAATTTGAAAAGCCGAAAAATTTCAAAACGATCAAATTGAAATTCGAAAAGATGCAAAAATAAAAAATTGAAAAATTAGAAAATTGAAATATGCAACAATTTCAAAATTGTAAAGAAAAAGTTTAAAAACTGAAAAATCGTAAATTAAAAAATTCCAAATCGAAAACTTCAAAAATCAAAAATTCTAAAAATAAATCGAAACATTGGAAAATCGGGAAACCGAAAAATCGAAGACTTGAAAATTGACAACTTGGAAATTTGAAAAAATACAAAACTGACAAATAGCAAAACCGAATAATGAAAAATTAAAAATGGAGTACTTTAAAAATGAAAAATCGAAAAATTGAGAACCTAAAAATCTAAAAATCAAAATACCTATCTAAAAACTGAAAAACCTAAAAATCGCAAGTGTTAATTGAAAATTCTAAAAGTCGAAAATTAAAAAATTGTAAATCGAAAAAATTAAAAATCGAACACTTTAAAATTGAAAAATTAAAAATTAAAAAATGCTAAAACTTTTAAATGAAAAAGTTTAGAAACCAAAAATCGAAAAATAAAAAACGAAAAACAAAAATATCTAAAAACTGAAAAATCGAAAACTCGAAAGCTAGAACTCCAAAATTGTAAAATTAAAAAATTGCGAAATTGTAAAATTGGAAATTCGAAAAATTGTAAAATTGTAAAATCGTAAAATGGAAGATTTTCAAAATTTTAAATTTAAAAAATCGAAAAATTGCAAAATGGTCAAATTGATAATCCGAAAATATGCAAAACTAAGGAGTCGAAACCTTGAATTTGAAAAAACGGAGAAACGAAACGTAAAAACACAAAATTGAAAAACTGAGTAAACGAAAAATGAAAAATAAAAATCGGGAACTTTAAAAAAATTTTAAATCGAAAAGTTGAGAAACTAGAAATCGAAATACCAAAATATCTCTCTAAAAATTGAAAAAGGGAAAAATTTCAAAACTGTAAAATCCAAACGGAAAAATTGAAAAATTAAAATTACAAAATCGGAAAATTGAAAAACCTAAAAACTGCTAAATTGTAAAATTGAAAAAAGGAACAATTTCAAAATTATGAAATTAAAAACTAGAAAAATTAAAATAAAAAACTTGTAAAATCGAAAAATTCAAACCAGAAAATTTTCGACGATTTTCGAAATTTAACTAAATACATTTTTTGTAGATTTGGGGTC